TAGCTGGCGCCCTCCTCCTCGACGCTGCGCCATCGCGTCGTCTCCCAATCCTAAGTCCACACCGCCGCCCAGGCCAAGTCAGGCACACAACACAGCGCACGACACGGCACGACACGGCGCGCCACGCCACGCCACGCCACGCCACGTCACGCCACGACACGACACGACACGACACGACACGACACGACACGACACGACACGACACGACACTGTCGACCAACGACACGACCAACGACACGACACACAAAGGTGTGGGACTGTACGAGGATTTCGAGGCCAGGGGCCTGTGCGCACGGGATGACGGTGACGAGCCCGCTGTCGGTGTGCGGCGGGCAGGGCATGGCCACATGGCCCGCCTCGGTACTCGAGTACTTGAACACGTGCAGGAAGGACACGGAGTGGGCTGACCGGTCGGCCAGCGGGAAGTCTTCGGCCAGGGAGGTCAGCTTCGCCGGGTCCACCTTCAGCCCCTGCATGGGGTCACTGTACAGAGGTCTCGCGGAGCGCGCAGACACGGCAGGCGCAAAGGAAGCAACGGTGTGTGTGTGTGTGTGTGTGTGTGTGTGTGTGTGTGTGTGTGTGTGTGTGTACCGTGGCGATGTATTTGAGGCAGTCCTTCGCGAGCCCGTCCATCAGCTTGAAGCTCTCGACCGCGAGTGCTGTGTGTCGTGTGGGCGGGTTTCTTCCCTCTTAATTAGAGCTCTCAAGTTGTCGCACAATTAGATGGTCAGCGGGGTACGCTACTTTGGTACTCGTCGGGTATGAGCTCGGCCCCGTTGGTCTCAATTGACTGGCCGTCTGCCGTGAGGCGCACCTAACGCACAAACAACGAATCAGAGAGCAGCCGCGTGTGTCGCGTGTCGTGTGCCGTGTCGTGTGTGTCGTGTGTGTCGTGTGTGTTCCATGCGTGCGTACGGCGAAGAACTCCTTGGCCAGGTGCCGCACGTGGGAGTAACCGATCTCGAGCGACGGCCGGTAGGGACACACGCTGTCCTTGAAGTACTCCGGCAGGCCGAAGAACTCGCGCGCCTGCCCGTACATCTCCACCAGGCACCGCACCTCGTCCGCGCCGAGCCTCCAGGCACACATTGAATTAGCCAATGTTGTTACCACCATTGTTTCGTCAGCAGAGCACAGCGTCAGGCGCATCAGCGTACCTCAGCCGAGCAAAGCCATGCGTGCACAGATGTGCAAAGAAGTCCTGTGGCCCCGGCCGCAGGGGGAGTGAGGCCATTGGGGGTGTTGGGGGGGGGGAATGAGAGCACCTGCAAGTGCAGACCGGCGTCGGTGCTGGTGCTGGGCTGGTCAGCCTGGGCCGAGGAGCCTTGGAGCGACAGCTCGGCCTGCAGCGCGGCGTACGAGAAGGTCGGGGCCGCCGTGGCTGTGCCCAGTTCTTCCATCTGCTCTAAACAATTATCCAAATATCCAAGAAATAGATATTCGTAGAAAATCAAGTGTTGAAATAAATAAAATAAAAATCAATAAAATAAAAAACAGAAGATACAGCACAGCAATGGAGAGGACGGATGAGGAGGTGACAACGCCCACGATGTCGGCCAGCACCACCACGACGACGTCTGGGGAGGCAGAGATCCCGGACTATTGGCAGCGAGTCGACTCGCCCTTCAGCAAATCCACGATTTTCGCGTACGCCGGCGGCATGTTGGCGTTCGGTGCCGTCTGCGGGGCGGCTGCTGCGCTGGTCATCGGCCAACGCCCACCAAAGCCCAGCGCCGCCAAGACCACTACCAAGGCCGGTGCTGCGGCCGCCAAGGCCGCACCGCCGCCGCTACCCCACACCCCAGTCAAGATTACGCCATCCTCAGCCGTGTTCGCAATCAAGGCCTTCGCCGCAGGCACTGCACCAGCCCACCCTTTTATTTTTATTTTATCTCATTTATTTATCATTTGGTTTATTATTTATCACACTTTACATTATTTTACATTATTATTTATTATTTATTTTTATGTCTTGCCAACAGGGACGGCGCTCTGTCTGACGGGCGCCTTGGCGGTGCGGTGGGTGGTCTACACGAGCATGGGCGTGTCCACGGTCGAGGAGTTCGCCGGTACCTTCGCCTCTCACACTGCACTGCGCTGCATTCGGTGCCTTCACGCTCTGGCTGACGTCACGATCGCTCCACATCTTCACTACTCTGTGCTCACTGTATTCCAATGTGGTGGCTGCGGTGGCGGTGGCGGTTGCGGCTGGCAGACAAGATGAGGCGATGGGCACCGGAGAAGGCGAAGAAGGTGGGGCTGGTGCCATCGCGGGAGAGCGCCTACTGGACGCAGAAGAAGCTCGAAGAGGAGGGCGGCGCCGGCGAAGAGGGCAGGCGCGCCATCGGCGTCTTCGAGCAGTGGTTCGGCGTCAAGTTCGACGAAGGGGACAACACCGACGACGAGGCCGCAGCTGAAGCCAGCACATGACGCACTAGACTTCAGAGTCCAGGGACAAGATCAATAATATATTGTTGCAATCATCACCCTTTCCTTTCTCGTCTGCACCTGGTGGGGACTTCCACCTTCTTGTCCGCCTGGCAGCCACCTTGGGATCTTGCACGTCAGAAAAATGGTGGGTTGGCCACAGCCCAATCGTACCCACCAGGAAAATAAAATTTTAATTTGTGCCCCATGTAATTACATTAGCGGAACATACCCGAACGAGCCAGACGGCAAACACAACACGACGGGCTTCAACACGAGCTTTCCTTCAGGGGCCTCGACACATCGTTGATTGTCTGGTGAGCTTCATCCATCCCTGCACGGTTGATGGTGATTGGCTCACAGTTGGGCAGATAGAATAGATTGGCACAGACAGATGAGGCGAACTACGATCGCTGTTGGCGGTCCATCTGGCTCGACGCAGGTGCACCAGGGCTGGCTCAAAAAGAAGGGCAAGAAGCGATGGTTCATCCTCCAGGCCAATTCGCTCTATTGGTTTGCCAAAGAACAAAAGGTTCGTCGCGTTTCAATTTAAGTTCAAAATTAAATCAATTTAATGTAATGTAATGGCCACGATGGCGCACCCGAATCATATGCTGCGAGCTGTTTGCTCATTCAATTCAAGCATTCTTGATTTCCACTCAATTTTGGTTCAATTAAGAATCGATATATAATGGGGTTGGTGGGTGCCTAGGCGGTGACGTTCCAGCATAGCTCGGTGAAGGGCTGCCTGGAGCTGAAGGGCTATGCGGTGTCGGTGAGCGAGAAGAAGTCGCACACCTTCATCGTGAGCAATCTACGCGACATGAACTACTACGAACTCACCGCCACGACCGATGAGAGCATGAACCAGTGGGTCGAGCACATCCGCGCCTCCATCCAGCAGGCCACCGACAACGAGGCCCTCGGCCGTTCCGGTGATCAGCCCCTCGTACGGCCTCCTCCCCCTCCTCCCTCCTCTCGCTACGTCTTGGCTTTCCATCAATCAAATCTCGCGCTACTCGATCTTTATCTTTATCTTTTTATTCTTTTATTCGAACAACAATTCGAATAATTCAAAATCTGTTTTGATTTTCATTTCGTTCCGGTCGTTTTGAACATTTTTGGATCCGTGGCTCTGAGTTTCCATAAACGAGACCGTCTGTTGTCAGACAGGAGTGCGCTGAAGGGTGAGAGACGGTTTTCGCTCTCGCACCTCTCTTCTCTTGGGCCGGCCGGTCTGTAGTTGGTTCATTTCATTTCATTGTTTGTTTGTTTGTTTTTGTTTGTTTGTTTGGTGTGTTTGGTCCCCACTATGGCCGAAACAAAGCCGAAGAAGAAGATCCAGATTATAATGGTACCGGCCTACACTGTGGCACTGCCATATATTTCTATTTGCACAGATATATACTTTGTTTTTATATCTTGTGTTGGCCAATATGTTCTTCATCTCTCTCTCTCTTCTCTGTACATGTCTCTAAAAGAGAGCTTGATCTGTCGAGACAGATAAAGACAGATATAAACTCAATCATGTGTCTTTATCTGTGTGATGCGTTGACCGTGTATGGACGTAGGAGGGGAAGCGAGGCGTTCTCATCAAGAAGGGCCAGGAGCGCCTCTTCGTGTTGAAGGTCGACAGTTTGATGTGGTTCCTCTCCAAAACCGGCGCAGAAAAGGTACCGCCCCTCATCATAATCTTCATTCCTCCTCCACCCCAATCTCCATCCACTCGCTTTCCCCCAACCACGCACTTTACGTCACAACACGACACACACGACACACACGACACACACGACACACACGACACACACGACACACACGACACACACGACACACACGACACACACGACACACACGACACACACGACACACACGACACACACGACACACACGACACACACGACACACACGACACACACGACACACACGACACACGCACGTACGCACGCACATACACACAGCACACACGACGCGACATGCCACAGCCTGGTAGGTACCTAACACTTTGCACGCCCTCCCCTCTCCTCGCAGAAAGCGAAGGGCAGCCTGCCGCTCAAGGACATAACACTCAAGCGAGGAACAAAGGGCTACTCGTTTGTATTGCAGCCCAAGGTATGCATTTGTTGCGTGTCGTGTCGTGTTGCGTGTGTCGCATTTATCGTGCGTGTCATGCTGTTTTCGTGCGTGTCATGCGCGTGTCCTGCGTGTGTGCGTGCGCGCGCTTTGCGAGAGGTCGCGAGTGTGTCAGCTAACATTTGTGGCGGCGGGGGAGTAGGTGGGCAAGGCCTACACACTGTTCGGGGCCACCCAACTCGAATGCGATGAGTGGATGGAGGCCATCAGCCGCGCCATCGAACGACTCAACTTCAACCAAACGGTATACCACCTTTAATTTATTTTCTTTTATTTTAAATCCATTTTTACACCACCCTCCACCAAGCATTCTTGACATATTATATTATATTATATTTTCTATTTCTCTTTACTCTTTTTATTATTAATATCAATTCTTTGATTTTCTTTTTGATTCTACGCGCAGACCGTCAAGAACGGTTGGCTGGAGAAGAAGGGCCAGAAGCGGTACTTTGTGATCAAGAACGGGAAGCTGCTGTGGTTCAACAAGATGCAGAAGGACGACGACGCCGAGGCCAACGGCTACCTGCTGCTCGACACCTGCAAGGTCTCGATCCTCCCGCCCGCCAACGGCAAGTACTCGCTCCACATCGTCGCCTCGGAGAGCGGCGCGGCCGCCGGCAAGGAGGGCGGCGGCGCGGGCGCGGGCGCGGGCGCCAAGGACAAGTCCAAGCGAGAGTACACCCTCACCGCCACCTCCGAGACCGAATGCAGCGACTGGGTACCCCCACCTCAGCCGCCACCTTAAACCCACACCAACCACCACACCCAACACTAATTGCCACCTTAAACCCAACACTGGTCCAGGCGGTGGCGATGGTGAATGCGGGGGCGACGGGGGACATGCCGAGCCGCGCGGCGTCGTCCAGCCGTCGGTCGGTCATGGCCGCGCCGTCGTCGACCGACCCCGTCGTGCGCCGGCCCGTCTCCGGCATCCAGCTCTCCGACGGGGTCTTCGTGAGCCGCCCCGCGTCGAGCGGCGGCAGCGGCAGCGGCGGCGGCGGTGGCATGGAGGGCTTCATGGTGGCCGAGAAGAGCGGCTGGCTCGAGAAGAAGGGCAAGCGGCGGTGGTTCGTGCTGACCGCCGGCGAGTTCGCCTGGTACGACCAGCCCCGGCAGCACCAGAAGGGCGAGAAGCCCAACGGCTCGATTCTGGCCAAGGACGCCTCGGTGGCCCAGATCGGCGAGATCGGAAACGGTACACACATCACCGCACACACGCCATCGCACACGTACTGCGTGTGCGCACACACGACACACGCGCGACCGCACACGCGGGTGAGTGACACGCGCGGATGTGGGGTGGGTGGGGCTGGGCAGGGTACTTTGTGTTTGCGATTTATTCGGCGACGGCGCGGGAGAGCGAGTACCTGCTGCAGGCGTCGTCGCTGACGGAGATGGAGGACTGGGTGGTGGCCCTGGTCCTCGCCGGCGCCAACCCTGGAAAGGACCGGTACGCCCCGCACTCACCGCACGCGCACGACCGCACGCACCGCACACACTGCACGCGCCCGACCACACACGCGCACACGCGCCGCACGCGCACAACCGCACACACGAGTTCGCTGACTTTTGTTGCACCACCACCACCAGGGCGACCTCGGTGTGCGAGGAGGGGTCGCCATACTCGGCGCGGCCAGACATTCTCCCCGAGGTACCTTTCGCTCTTCGCTCTTCTTTCTTTCGCGCAGCCGCTCATACGACACACAACACACACAACGACACGACACGACACGCGCCACGACACGACACGCACCACGACACGACACGCACCGCGACGCAGAATGACAAGAACGGATGGATGGAGAAGAAGGGGCGCAAGCGTTGGTTCGTGCTGCGCAACTCGCACCTCTACTGGTACAAGGCCGTGCAAGAGGTACGACACGCAACACACACCACACATGACACGACACGCACGGCTCACCACACGACACGCGCGGTGCGTGCGGTGCGTCGCGCAGACGGAGGCGGGGCTGAAGGAGGCGACGGGGTCGCTCGAGCTGGAGAAGTGTACGGTGAAGAAGCTGGACGGGAAGCTCAAGGGCCGGTCGGCCCTCGTCATCTCGAGCAGCGCCAAGGGCGAGTACCTGCTCCTCCACGAAGACGAAGCCGAGATCGACTCCTGGGTCCGCCTCCTCATCGACAAGGGTACGACACGGCACACGACACACGACACGACACGCGCGGTGCGTGCGGTGTGTTCTCACGCGGCGTGTGCGGTGCGCGTGTGCGGCGTGTGCGGTTGAAGGTGGTGCGAGCAAGTATAGGGCGGCGGTGGCGAGCGGCGGGCCGGCGTCGGGCATGTGCAACTACTTTGGGATCTCGCTCCAGCAGCTGCTGGCCAAGGAGAAGGGCGACGCCGCAGGCGGCATCCCGATCCTCGTGCGAAAGTGCGCCGAACACATCCGCGCACACGGTAACGTTCCTGTGTGCCGTGCGTGTCGTGTCGTGCGTGTGTCGTGCGTGTGCCGTGCGTGTCGTGTCGTGTCGTGTGTGTTGCTGACGCGGCGCAAACGTGACAGGCATGGAGGCGGAGGGCATCTTCCGCGTGTCGGGGGAGCAGATCGACATCGTCGCGCTCAAGCAGGAGTTCGAGAGCGCGAGCGATCCCAGCACCATCACCTTTGCCGACAGTACGCGCTCCTCTGTGTGCGCGGTGTGTGCCGTGTGTGCCGTGTGTGCGAGTGCGCTGACGGTTGCGTGTCGTGCGTGTCGTGCGTGTGCGTGTGTGCGCACACACAGACATCGACGTGCACGCGGTGAGCGGGCTGATGAAGATGTTCTTCCGTGAGCTCAATCCGCCGCTGATGACGTTCGACCTCTACAGCGACTTCATGGCCGCCGCCGGCTGCGTCATGTCCGACATCAAGGCCCTCATCGCCCAGCTTCCTGCCGAGAACAAGATGTACGCATCGCACTCACGCGCGCGTGTGTCGTGCGCGTGTTGCATGTGTCGCGCGTGTCGTGGGTCACGGTGCGTGTCGTGCGCTAACGATGTGGTTTCTGCTTTTTTTTTCCAGTCTGCTGGGGTATCTCCTGCACTTCCTCTACGACGTCTCCCAACTCGGCGACCTCAACAAGATGCGACCCATGAACCTGGCCATCGTCTTCTCGCCCAACCTCTTCCGCTCCAACAGATCCGCCTTTGAGGTTCTGGCCAACAGCAGGTAAAAACACGACACACACGACACACGACACACACGACACGACACACGACACACACACAACACTGTGGCACACACTCAATTACTTGTGATGAATGCAAGCAATGCGGCGGCGGTGACGCAGTTCATGATCGCCAACGCCCACGAGCTGATGCCCGCGATCGACTCGGCCGCCGACGACGTGACCGCGCCACCCGCGCTCCCCGCCCTCCCCGCCGGCCTCGCATCGAAACCGCTTCCCGGCCTGGGCGCGCGGGGGTCGCCCGCCGCGCAGCTCTCGCCGCTGCTGCCGCCCAGCAGCGCCGGCGCCGCGAGCCGTGTCCTGCCGCCGGCTGTGGTGGCGAGCGCGCCTCAGTTCGGCAGCACGCTGTCGCCTCGCGTGCTCCCCGCGCCGCCGCAGCCGCTGCCCATCGGCGGCCCCATGCTCCAGTCGCCCGCGCTGCAGGCCAAGGTCTCGGCCGAGATCTTGCAGCGCATCAGCGCCGGCCCCGCCCAGTAGGCCACAGCGCGGCTCGCAAAGTTTTGATGATGATGATGTAATGTACATTTAGTGAACTAAACCAACAACTACCAACCAACTACAACTACAACTTCACGCGTGTGCGCACACACCGCACGCACACACCGCACTCACCGCACACGGTGGTGTCAGCAGTCGGCGAGGGCGCCGATGGGGTCGAGAAGGAAGGCGGAGTAGGTGGCGTAGGCGCCGTTCTCGAGGTCGTAGCCGTCGGCCTCGCGGCGGGTCACGAGCCGCAGGCAGCCGGCAAAGTGGCGTACCCGCGCCCGGTTCGCTTCGCAGTGGAGGGTGATGTCGAGCACCTGCGGGTAGTGGCCCTGGAACTGCGCCCAATCGCTGATACCCACCACCGCACCGCACGCCCGACACTCGCACCACACCCTCTCGTTCGTGTGCAACTTGACGCTGTGCGTGTCGTGTCGTGTCGTGTCGTGTCGTATCGTGTCGTGTGTCGTGAGTTGTGTGTCGTGTCGTGTCGTGTGTCGTGGCACCGTACCATTCGGGGAGGTGCGCGCACATCTTCCACGGGTGTCGCTGGTCGCTGTGCTCGCCCATCTGCCAGTCGTACACCTGCGGCACCACCTGCGCCCCAGATCGCACGCACGCGCGCGTGTGCGTGTGCGATGTTGAGCAGCCTGGCACGCACACACACACCGCGCGTGTGCCCCCCTCCCAAAGTCATGACAGCACGCACCACGCGAAGGATCCGCGCCACCTTCTCCATCCGGGCGCGTTTCTTCAACCCCGCATCCCTGGCCGCCGTCTGCCATACACGGTGGTGAAGGATTAGTGCGTGTCGTGTCGTGCGCGCGCGTGTCGTGCGTGTCGTGCGCGTGTGTTGTGTGTTGTGTGTCGTGTGTCGTGTGTCGTGTGTCGTGTGTCGTGCGTCGTGCGTCGTGCGTGTGTCGTGCGTGTGGTGTTGTTGGCACCATGCGGTTGCGGTGGAGCAGGACGTAGTGCTGCTGGTAGTTCTGGATCTTTCTGTGGCGCTTGGCGCTGCCCTTGCCTCGCCCGCCCTGCTTGCGCCAGTTGAATTCCCGCAGCAGGAGCTCCTTCCACAGCCGCTTGTCCTCGTCGATCACCTCCCGCCACCGCACACAGACCTGGAACAATTTTTAAAATAATTATAAAGGCATAATCAAAGATGATTTATTAAATAAACATAAATTATGAGTAATAAATATTATTTATTGCTCATAATTTATGTTTCTACTATTACTGAAAAATTGGGATTTCACTTTGATCGAATGAAGGTCTGGATTGGCGTACGCGGCGCAGGCGAGCGAGTTGAGGGCCGTCGTGGAGATGAGAAAAGATGTGGGAGAGGAGGAAGGAGTCGAGCCTGTGCAGACCCTCCAGCATGCTTTCATCTTCGGCTGCGGTTGTATGAGTAGCCTCGTCTTGTACAGGATGCGTCGAAGTAGCAGCACCACGGCCATCGGCGGTGGTTCGTTGTTGTTTGCTCGGCTCGCCCCTTCGCCTTCGTCGTGGCTGCTCTGCCACCGCTACGTCGGCCTGCCCAAGCCGAGCCAGCATCTCAAACTTGTTCGCATTGCTCACCGCAGCGCCGCGTGAGTTGCTACTCGTGGTCTGACCGCCCCGCGTGGCGTAACCACCTCGTCCTCTCCCTCTTCCTCTGCCGTTCATCTTTTGTTCTTCTTTTGTAGCTTCCCCGACCCAAAGCTTGTTCGCTCTACTTGCGTCTCTTCACCGAAATCGTTAAGATGAAGAAGAAGATGAAGAAGTATGAAGAGATGAAGTCGAGCCAAGGATGGATGTAGCTTGGAATGTACACGTACAGCTGTTGTTGGTATATTCAAAAGAGAGAGAGAGAAGAGAGAGAAGAGAGCTAGTGGGTTGAGGAGAGGAGCAGCTTGCGCGATTCCGCGACGACGTTGGGCGGCGCGATCTGGTCGATCCGTCGTAGCTGCCGTCGTGGACCCTCCTTGAACTGGACAACCCCACCACCCGCCCCTCTCTCAGTCGCAACGCCACACACGCAACGCACGCAACACACATGACACGCCACACGCCGCACACGGGCACGACACGCACGCGACACACACGACACGCCATGAAGCGGGGGAAGCGATGTGGAGCGTGCGCGTACCCGCGAACGCTGAAGACGAACTCCTGGCCGAGGATGGAGTTGAGCTTGGCCGTCTGGTGCTGCGATGGCATCTTGGCGAACTCCTGCGGGGCCATCTGCATAATGGCCTGCGTGCGGCGTGTGCGGCGTGTGTGTGCGATAGCGCGTGTGCGGCGTGTGCGTGACTTAAATGTGAGTCGAGGGACAGCCAAGGCGCACCCCGTACGGGTAGTACACCGTACCTGGTTGACCTGGGGCGTGGCCAGCACTTTGAGCTCGCCGGTGGAGTCCTCGAGCTTCCAGTAGATCTCGTAGGCCAGTTCCGCCGGACATACGCTGGTCCACGCCGCCACAGTCAGTGGTGTGTGTCGTGTGTCATGTGTGTGTGGTGTGTGTGTGTGTGGTGTGTGTGGCCTGTGGTACCCTGCGTCAGGTTTGCAGGACACTCCACAAAACTCGCACTGAATTTCGGTCTTGCCCTCTTGGCCCTTCTCTTCAATCTGCACCACCTGACGCTTACACCGCGAGTCTGCACACGCACCGCACACACCGCACACACCGCACACACCGCACACGCCGACGTACACGCACCACGGGATCTCTGCGTGAGCGACGACTTCCTCGGGCTGGCCGCAGCGGAAGGTGACGTACGAGCCGTGTAGAGGACGAGGTGGGTCGACAGGAACGGGGTCCAGCCGACGATGGTAGCCCGGCATATGAAGTTGGTCAGCTTCGCCCCGCCTCTATGTAGGCACGACACACACAGAGCAGGGAAGGAGACTCGTGAATGAGCTCCCCAGGGAATGATTGGGGGGGGGGAAGCGTGGCGTACTCGAGCGAGACCGTGGTGTAGAGGTCGGGCGACATGAGCCAACCCGGGAGCGTGCTCACTGCGTTGACGTATTGAAAGGTAAGCGAGCGGTCAAAGCAATGCAAAGCTCTGAATGAAGTGGTGGTGCGATTGTTATAGGGTTCGTGCCGTTGTGCAGCTTGGCCACGCCCGAGTGGCCCACGATGCTGAACTTGCCGTTGACGTTGAGCGAGGACGTGCTCAGGTTCTCCATGAACAGCAGCTGACCCGGCCGAAACCTGCTGCCTTCCATACCTTTTGCACCCCGCACCGCCCCACGACCCGTGAGTCTTATTAGTGGCGCGCCCCATTAGCAGTAAGCGGTCCCACGAGGGGGCTCGTGCAGTACCCAAATTGTCCCACAGGGTTACACTGCGGCTGTACCCAGCGGCCTCCTCTCCGCCAGCTGCCACGCGTTAGCGACACGTGGGGTCGGATGTGTGTGTGTGTGTGTGTGTGTGTGTGTGTGTGTGTGTGTGTGTGTGTGTGAACCTTCTTCGTTGGTCTCGACGCTCTGCAGCACCAGAGGATACCGCGCGACGGACGGCAGCCCGGGTCGAACGAACGGTGCGTTCTTGCCCATTCGAATGATGCGGCCAAACAGAGAAACGTTCACTGTTGTCGCGTGTGTCCCACCGACAGTGAGTGGTCGCGTGAGTGCACATCATGCCTACGTCGAGGCTACTACAACTCTAGAAGGTTGAGAGGTACCCATGTTGGCCCGTAGATCTTGAAACGCGACTGGCTCGGGAAAGTGTCTGAGGTCGCGGTTCCCCTGGCGGTCACACACACACAACACACACAGGTGAGCTTACGAAGTCAAGTCGTTAGTGGGGTCAATTGGAGCTCTCACCTTTTCGTCTTTGGGGACTCGGAACTGCGTGGGCGTCGGGGTCAGCGCGTAAGGACTCGTGGAAGAACTCACAAGGTCCTGTGCCAGGGAAATGGAAAATAAGAAAAGTCAATCTCACTGCAAGCTACGTGCCTGTGTGCGGTGCGTGCGGCGTGTGCGTGTGCGTTTTAACGATCTCCACACACGCGTGTGTGTGTACCTGCGATGGTGCCATCGGCAACACGTGGACAATGGTCTGAGGGCCGTATTCGAGCGTGCGCTTGTCCTTCCAGGCGCCCGCCAGTGGGAACTTGGGGTTGGAGATCGCCAGGTAGTCTCCCTGCGCAAACAATCTGTCAGAACACACGACACACACGACACACAGCACACAACACACAGGCGCACGCACTCACCTCCTTGAACAGCGTAGCCAGTTTGGTTTGATCGTCCCACAGGGTGAATGTGGCGTCGGTCGCGGTCATGCTCAAGTTCGACGTCGTCGAGGAGGAAGACGTGGTGAAGGGCGAGCCATGGGAGCTGTCCTTGATCGCAACCCGCGTCTCTGTTCGGTGCATGAACTCCTGCGCCTTTTGGCTCGAGATCGAATGCACCTGCGCAGCGCAACCCGCGAGGAATGTACAACAGAACCAAGACTAAGCGCTACACGCACAGGCCAGAGAAGAAAAGAGAAAAGAGAAAGGAAAAGAAAGAGAGAAATGGAAAGAGAAGAGAGGACCTTGACGAAGATGTGGTACTCTCGTTGGAGGTCGATGGGCTCGGTGGCCCTGGGGTCCCTGTCGAGAGTGATCGTGCGCAGCGAGTCCACGAACTTGGTGCGGATGTAAGCCCTGATGACGACGACGACGACGACGACGTGAGCGTACATGTAGTTTGTATTGTGTCCGTGGCGTGTAGGTTGCGTTGTACGAACCTGTCGCTATCCGTGAGAACTAGGACAGCAAATTCGGTCGGCAGCAGGCGAAGGTCTCGCACGACCAGTTGGCAGCCAGTCAACCGGAGCGTTCTTCGCTTCATTCGGCCCCAAACGCAACGAAATGAGAAAACGCACGAGACACAGTGAATCACAGAGTGCGGAGACGCTGACATCATTCACTATAGTGCGCACGACCAACCCAAGCAAACATTTCAAGACGTGCATACCTCGGTGAACAGGCCCTTGGCGACGAGTGGATAGAACTTTTGGTGCAGGTACCACTCGATCTTCTCTTGCTGTGCTCGTCCTGCAGCTTCAGAATGTCTATACACAGTGCGTGCGTGGGCGGAAGTAAGAGAAGCTCAGCTTCGACCAGCGCTGGTCAGCGTATGTAAGACAGAGAGGTGCGCAGGCGGTGTGTAGGTACAGGTCTGCGTGCCGGGGGTCTGCTTGGCCTCGGCGATGCTGGCCTCGAGGATGGCGGTCAGGCCCACCTTCTTGGTGGCCTTGATCTTGTCGATTGACTCCAGACGCCGGGAGATGCCGTAGCGCCACTCGATGCTCGTTTCATCCCACTAGAGAGGGCACACGAATCAACCGACTGACCGCACGATACATGGCACGACACGCACGGCACACGGCACACGGCACACACGGTGCTAACGTACGAGGTTTTGCAAGTCGGAGAGGACGATGGCCATGGTCACCCCGCTCGGGTATCGTTCGAGCAGCGACACCAGGTTCAGGCACACCCAGTTCCTACGTTTGGGGGGGGGGGAACGCTTAATCTCATGAATGAATCGAGAGATGGCGGTAGCGGCGAACCAGGGCACTCGGTCCAATGCATTGGACACGTTCTGCGAGGCGGCCACGGCGGAGCAGGGTGGCGACGACGTGAACCCGCGGCGGTCGTCGTCCTTGGCCGTCCGCACCACCAGCTTGTCCCGCACCTCCCCCACCAAGCGCAAGAAATCCATCTTTTGACGCGCACGAATTTCTTCCTCGAATGTATTTATTTACTCCTTGGCGAGCTGCCCGATGTAGAAGTCCTTGAGGTACTCAATGGCGGCGCCAGAGTGGCCTACATCATCAAACATGTCCGACGCATCCTTACCCGCACCCTGCAAATTGATTTGAATTCAAATTCAAATGTAATCGCGAATAAATAAGGATTAAGGCATTCGTCCGGTATGGCGTGAGCAATCGACGAGGAGGCGTAGCGTACGTCCATGAGGATGTCACCACCGGGGTGCTCATCCACGAAGGGCGTGACATCGTACACCTTGCCGTTAATGATCATCCAGCAATCATTGACCGTGTCATGCTTTGCCACCTCGGCCTTGGTAAAGATCCGCACCTCCTTCTTCGCCTCCCCTTCCTTCTCCTTCCTCCTCGTGTTATCCATTCCTCCTCCACCTCCGAATAAATCAATCAAGGAATGAATGAATAAATCATTTGTTTTTTTATAAAAAGCCAAATAAAGAGACTGTGGCGTGGTGCTCAGCTTTGCTCCTCGATCTCGGCCCCGCTGTCGCCTTCCGAGTCAGACGAGGCCATGCTGTTGTTGCTGTTGCTGCGCTGTCGGTGTTGTTGTTGTTGTTGTTGTTGTTGTTCTGCTTCGTCGCCGCTGGAGCCGCCTTCGGCCACGTTGTTCAGGCGCGCCAGCTCGGCGGCGGCCTCGCGCTCGAAGAGGTCGCGGCTGGCCTTGCGAATGGCGACCGATGTCGACGAGGTCGAGCTGAGCGGCGTCACCTTGCGGCGGCCCAGCGTGAGATTCTTGATCAGCTGCGCCGGGTTGGACATCCGGCGCGGGCTCCACGACACCAGCGCGCCGTTGGCGTGGCCCACGAACAGCTGTGAAAAGTCCGCGTTCAAGCACAGGGCCGTGACTGCGTGTGTGCCGGGCGTGTGTCGTGTCGTGCCGTTGGTCGTGTCGTGTCGTGTCGTGTCGTGTCGTGTCGTGTCGTGTCGTGTCGTGTCGTGTCGTGTCGTGTCGTGTCGTGTCGTGGTGAGAACACGACTACGATCGAGAGCTGGTGGTGATGGTGCGTACTTGGGCTGGTCTCCTTTTCGTTCTTCATCTCGGAGAGGAAGCTGAGGTCGAAGGCGTCCCAGATCTTGATGGTGCCCGAGTCGAGGCCGCAGATGACCACATTCCTGCTTAGCCCTTCCGTCCCTGCGTATATTTGCAGATATGTGAATAATGTGTGTGCGTGTGTGCGTGTGTGCGTGTGTGCGTGTGTGCGTGTGTGCGTGTGTGCGTGTGTGTGTCGTGGTGTGTAGGTGTATAGGTGTGTGTGTGCGCGGTGGTCGTGTGCGGTGGTAGAAGGACGAACCGTGGGTGAGGGCGACGCAGTTGATGCGCTCCTGGCAGGTGGTGGAGGCCACCAGGCGGCCGTTGATAGTCCACAGGCAAATGGTCGAGACGTTCCGCGGTGATCGCTTCTCGCCCACAGGAATAAATTCCGATCCTGTCCGCACACGCGTGAGGTTCGTGCGCACGGGCGTGTGTCGTGTCGTGCGTGTCGTGCGTGTCGTGCGTGCGTGTGTCGTTCGGTGAGAAATGCAAGGTACCATTGTCTACGGTGACGATGTCGCCGGTGGTGGGACTGATGGCCAGGCTGGTGACTGGCCCACGGTGGTGCTTGAGCGTGCGAATGTAGCACAGACGGTTGAGATCCCACAAAATCACCTTACCCTCGCGCCCGCCGCTGATGATCAGACTCCACTCCTGTTGTCATCGCACGACACACGACACACACGACGCACACGACCAAGAGTTGAGACCGCGCTTTCTAGAGAAAGGAGGTGGTGAGGGTACAGTCGTACCTTGGAGATCACGACCGAGAGCACGTCGTGCGCGTGGCCCGACAGGATGGCCTGCAGCCGGATGCGCATGCGGCCCCGCGAGCTGGCCTGCTTGACCCGCTTCAGCTTCCACACCTGGTGGTCCCGATCGCACGCCGCACGCGTCAGCTGTAAAGAACTTGAAAAGAAAAGAGAAAAGAGAGAAGAAAAGGTACATACCTTGAGTAGAGACGAGGTGCCGCCGGTGGCGAGGTACTGGCCGTCCTGGGTGATGTCGGCGCACAGGATCTCGTCGTCGTGCGACGTCTTGATGACCAGCAGCACCTTGCCCGTCTCCACCGAGCACAGCCGGATGTTCTGGTCCCAGTAGCCCCACGACACCATCGCCGTCCCCTCCGGGTGCAACAACACCTACACACGTGTGCGTGTGCGGTGGAGCGTGTGCGTGTGCGGTGGAGCGTGTGCGTGTGCGGTGGAGCGTGTGCGGTAGTGTCGACAATGTGAGTAAATGTGGAAACTCGGTTTGGAGGGCAAAGGGGCCGGGCAAGTACCCGCTTGGCGCGCTGGGGGATGGGCTGGCCGTCGACGAGGTCGATGCGGTGGATCTCGAAGGTGCAGACCAGGAGCGGGTAGGACCACAGCTGGTGCGGGTGCGAGTAGACGGTGGGCTCGGGCTCCCGCCACACCTTCTCGGGGTGGGCGCGGCGGAAGAGCAGGCGGGGCGTCTGGCCGTAGGAGCTGATCTGGGCGATGGTGGCCTTGCGCATGACCTCGTCCTGGATCGAGTCCACCTCCACCGCGCCCTCGTAGGTGAGCGGATGGAACACGTTGTAGGCCTTGCGCGCCGCGTCGCCACGCTGCAGCGCTCCATACATCAGATCTGGTCACCATTAGTGAGAGAGTGTTCACTCATCAGTGCGTGCCCTTTCTCTATGGTGTATGTGTCGTGTCATGTCGTGTGTGTCGTGTTGTGTGTATCGTGTTGTGTGTGACGTATTGTGTGTGTCGTGTACCGATCCACTGGTGAAGGCGTTCAGAGACGTAGCGGCACTCGAGCGCCTCTCTGTGCTTGCGAATGAAAATGCTGAACGGGCCGAAGGGTTAACATTACGGCCCTAATGTATGGGGAAAGTGGTGCGGGGGGGGGTCGACGGCCGACGTACCGAGGGTCGCCCTTGGCCCAGGGCGGCAGGAGTACGTTGTCGACGCGCACGGAGTCGTGGCGGATGCCGAGGTCGAAGTGGTTCTGATTCTCGAGGAACTCGGGGAAGTAGAAGAACTCGGGGATGAGCTCCTTCACGTCCGAGTTGGACATCGACGACGACAAGCTCCACGTCGTGTCCAGCGCATGGAACACTCGGTCTGTCGAAAACACACATGCCACACACGACACGACACACGCACAGAAAGAGAGGAGTGAGACACGTGTTGTGTCGTGTTGTGGTGTGTGTCGTGTGTGTCGTGTGCAGTACCTGGGACGTCGAAGCGGCCGCCTTGGAATTCGATGAATCCGCGGGTGAAGGGCTGCACGCGGACGAGGAAGTGGAGCACCGACCCGATGTTGGAGTAGTGGGACCCGTAATAGTACGGCACGTCGTTCATCTCGAGCAGCTGTCGGGATATTACCAGACATCAGCCACTCGCACACGGCACGACGCACACGACACATAACACGACACGACACATGACACACGGTATGTGGGGGAGAGGAATGTAAACCATTTCGTATTTGTCGATGAATTTCTTGAGGCGCGTAGGGTCCTGGGCGCCCATGGGCTTGGAGAGATCGCGGAACGTGTTGGGGTTGGTGAGGTCCAACTCCTCCGACGTGTAGTCTCGCAGCAGGAACGGGAAGATCGGGTACTGCGTCAGATCTGCAAAAGATGCCGACAAACAAACAAAACAAACCAAACAAAACAAAACAAACAAACAAACCAAACAAAACAAACAAAACAAACAAACAAACAAACAAACAAATAAACAAACAAATGTTAAGGCACGTGATGGTGCTCGTGTGCGGTGTGTGCGGTGTGTGCGGTGTGTCGCGTGCGGTGTGTGCGGTAGTGTGAAAAATGGTAATACCGTTGAACGAACGGCCGGCGAGGGTGTTGAGGTGCATGAGGTATTCGAAATTGGAGATCTCGCCCCGGCGCCACTTCTCCGTGATCGACCGCTTGAGGATGTTGCCGCCCACCTCCGTCTCGTAGTCGACCCGATTGGGCAGATCCAGCGACAGCAACTGCAACAGTCGCCAACAACACAACCAATCAGAACCGTCCCCAAGCCCACTAAAACTAAAACTAAAACATCACGCGTTGATTGGTTGGTGCTACCTTCTCGTAGATGGCGTTTCGGTCCTGCTTGGTGGGGAAGGCCAGCAGGTAGGTCCGGCCCGTCGTCAAGAAGATCTCCATCGCCGTATTCTTCAGCAAATACCGCCGCTTGTGTATTTCCTGTTGATAAAAATAAAGTAATATTATAAGAATTATATTCTTTCTCATAATTATTATTATATGGACTATGATATAACATTGTAATAGTGTCGTAAATATAAGAATATTTTACCTTGATGTCTTCGTATTGGAGGGTGATGGACTTGTCGCCGACCCACTGGCCGCGCTTGCGGGGTCGCTTGTCGGCGGCCCAGGTCGGGTCCTCGCCCTCGGCGATGGCCGCGGTGGCCTCGAGAGATGACACGGGCGCCTTGGTCGACACCAGCGACGAGTAGGGCTCCGACATGTCGAAGAAGTACGTGTACTTGGCCCCCACCACCATCTCGCCCTCGCGCGTCGAGAAGGGCGTGATGCACTGGCACTTGCTCGCCAGCAGCACCTTCTCGCCTGTGTGTCGTGCGGTGGTGTGTGCGGTGATGCGTGTGTCGTGTGTGTCGTGAGTGGCAGTCAACATCAGCGCGCCATCGAAGAAGAAACGAAGAACGAAGAAGAACGAAGGAAGAGAGGAGGAAAAAGAGTCGTACCGGGCTTCAAGGCGACGTGATTTTCGTTCTTTTGCATTTGCTCCTTGTAGAGACCGCCGATGCGAATCTTCTTGAGCTTCTGCAGGCGCAGAATCATCTCTGTACATAGAAGACGAGAGTCGCGCATGTGAGGCACGAGGTGTATGTGTGGTGTGTGTGTGTGTGTGTGTGTGTGTGTGTATGGCGTACTGGGGCTGAGCCACTCTAGAGGCTCGCCGTCCTCCTTGAACAGCTTGTCCAGGGGTCGGGTCAACGTGGGCTTCAGCCGAATTCGCATGCGGGTCGTGCCTGTGGCGAACAACGTCAGAACAGTTTGCAGTGCGGACGCACGACACACACGGCACACGATAGCAGAGAAACGACATAACTCACCTTCGGTGGCGTCGAGCAGTGGGCGCGCGATGACGTTGGGGAGCGGCCACACGGCCTCCTGATGGGTCACCTTCTTGACGAGGTCCTTCCACTGGTGCAGCAGGAGCTGCTCCTCGTGTTCCTTATCGCTCAGATATTGGATGTTGGCCTGTGCGTGTCGTGTCGTGTCGCGTAGTGCGTGCGGGTGCGTTCTTTAGTGAGAAGGTGCTCCTAACGTTATTTCTGGCTGTGGTGAGGGGAGACGCCACCTTTTCCTGTTCGTGCTGCAAAGCAAAGTAGTGGTTCTTCACACTTTTGCCGTTCGCCTTGACCTTGGACTTGTGCCGGAATATCCTGATCAATCACTCGTCACTCACCGTGTGTGTGTGTGTGTGTGTGTGTGTGTGTGTGTGTGTGTGTGTGTGCATGTGTGCGTGCGTGCGTGCGTGTGTGTGTGTGTGTGTGTGTGTGCGGTGTGTGCTGTTTTGGTGTGTGGTGTGCAGTGGTGCGTGTGTGCGTGTACGGTGAGAGCTGACGTACTTGATGGCCTTCTTCTTTCGGGCCTTTTGCCGCTCCTTCTGCCATTTGTCTTTGGCGTTGGCCTCGGTGTCCTCGGTCCGCCGCACAAAGTGCGAGATGTGCTCCTCCAGCAGGATTTCCTCCACCTGCTCCGCCTTCACCTTCCTCGTCCACTCCTCCTCCTCCTTACCACCTTCACCTTCACCACTCTTCTTCCTCTTCTCCTCCTCCTCCATCTTCTTCTTGTCGTCACCGTCACCGCCATCGCCGCGCTGCTGCTCCCGGTCGCGCTTGCGCTGGTTGGCCTCGCGGACGTGTTGCTCGGCCTGGAGCAGGAGGTCCTCGAGCGTGGCGAGGCTCAGGTAGTCCAGCGTCGAGTGGATGACGATGCGCCAGCACTCCTGGGTCTGCATGCTGATGGCCGGGTTGGGGTGGGCCAGCAGGGGCCACGAGTGGTACAGGAACGAGACCACGAACTCCTTGTCGCCGATGTTGGCCAGCAGCATCGAGTTGGTGCTGCGCAGCTCGGAGAGGGAGGAGGAGAGCGGCGAGCGGAGGTAGGACGACGACGAGCCGGGCGAGAGGGTGGGCGCGGGCAGGAGCTTGGACAGGGCCGACAGGATCCACGGCTCGACGTTGGACTGCAGCAGCCGCAGCAGCGCCCGCCGGTACTGCATCTGCGGCAGCGAGATCGGCGCCAGCACTGCAATAATAATAATAAGAAAAATAAAGAATAAGATTAACATGTAATAGAAAATGATAACAATAATAAGATTCTTAATAAATAATCGAGGGCGGTACGGAGGCCGGCTTGGGTGGAGGTGAGATCGATCTTCTCGCGCAGGATGTTGAACAGGGCGAAGATCATGCACAACACGTTGTCCTTGAACATGTCGCGCGCCTTGTACGCCCACGGCCTGGGTCCCCAATAAAATAAACTGCGTTGAGCGAAAAGCACTGTGCTACACGCACGCACACACCACCGCACACGTACTTGGAGGAGGCCGGGACTTTGCGGCATTCCAGCAGCACAATGGAGTCACGCCAGAGCCACGCGTGCAGAGCGAGAACGCACAACCTGCACACGCACACGACCAACGACACGACCAACGACACGGCAATAAGTAAATGAAAATGGTGCACTTTGTGTTTGATGAAGCGCACAAGACGAAACGAAACGAAAAGGAAAGCTGTCAAATAAAAGAAAAGGAAAAGGAAAAACGTACTTCTGGAGGGCGTTGAGGAGCGTGGACGAGTTGGCGATGTTGTTGTCGCGGAAGAACCAGAACACGTCGACGAGTACCCGCTCGCGCAGGCGCACGACGTACTCGCGGGGCAGTCCTTCGAGCACCTCCATCGTCTAAAGTGGGGGTTGTAAAGGTGACCGTTACACGTCAGCACCAGGCCCACTACATAGACGGCGACGGCGAGATGAGGTTCACGATCATCGTACCAGGAAGATGTCGTCGAGCAGCTTGGGTGGCATCGTGCTCGGCGTGCCGGTGACGCAGCGATGCAGCGCCACGGTCTTGAGGAACCGCAGCACGTCCTCCTCGAGCTCCCACTCCTTGTCCTCGTCCTCCTCCACCTCGCCTTCTTCTTCCTCTTCTTCTTCCTCCGCGGCCGCGGCCGCGGCCGGGTCACCACTGAGGTCCTGCTGCTCGGCGCCCGCAGTCTCGGCCTGGTGGGCTCTGTCGGGCTGCGGCGGGCACGACTCACAGCTTAGTTCGGCCGCCGCGGCTGCTGCGGCTGCCGCAGAGGTCTGTTGCTGTTCGTCGGGGGTGAGGTCCGAGGAGGCCTGCTGGGAGGAGTAGGGCGAGACGCCGGGCGAGGGCTGCGATTGGGCGGCCCGATTGTCGGGCGTCGTCGGGAACTTCTCCTGGTAGCCCACCACGAAGAGATCGCACAGCAATTCTGTGTGTCGTGTGTGTCGTATCATCGCGTGTCGTGTGTCGTGTGTGTTGTGAGCGTCAACACGAATGCGGTATGACACGAATGCATTAAAATGTAGCGTACCGATGAGGTGATTGCTGATGAACTGATCCTTGACCGGGTCGTTCTGCAGGAAAATGTCGTGCAGGGTTTTGATGGCCGCATGCCGCGTGTTCGGCATGATGAAATGGCTGAAGCCGGACACACATGGACATGGAAGAGGAGATGAGCATTCACAAGCATGGCGACATGGGCGTGTGAGTGAAAGGGGGGGGGCGATGATCGTTGAACAAGACAGTACCTGCCAACGAGGACGAGGATGGTCGTCATGGCGCCGGGGTGCTGCAAGACGATGTCCTCGTCGCTCAGCTTGCCCAGGAAGTTCAGCGTGACCGACGTGGCACCTGTGGCCATCACGATTTCAAAGCCTGGTCAGGCAAGCCCCAAGTGTGTCGTGTGCGTCGTGTGTCGTGTGTCGTGTGTCGTGTCGTATGGTGGTACCTGCGCCGATGTTGGGTGCGTTGTAGGAATGGGTCGGCTTGCCCAGCAACATGGCGAAGAGGACGGCCAGCAGCTCCTCGCCGACCTTGAACGGCTTCAGGATGTCGCCCAGGAGATGCCAGCCCCTGACATTTTTTTGTCGCGTACGCAACACACATGCTTAGAATTCCTCAAGACGCACAGCCAACCTATAGTGCGTGAAGCACGGAATGTAAAGAATGCAAAAGAAGGGTGCAAGTACTTCATCTGGAAGAATTGCGTGCGGTTGGTCGAGTTGCGCAGGAACACGTCCAGGAGCTTGAGTATGATGATGCGCGTCTCCTCGTCCTCGTGCTGGATGAACTCCAGCAGCAGCTCGAGCGACATGGCGCTCTCCACTACGCGAATCGACTGCTGGCCACCGCTCGTCACGATATCTGGAGATAGTTGGAATTCTTGGGCGTGAGTGGTGCGGTGGTCCCGTGTCGCACGGGCAGTCGTCGCCGTACCCAAAAGCATCTGAAGCACGTGGACGCGAATGGAGCGGAGCGCCTCGTCCCCGGGTCCTACCATGCCCGTGGAGGTATTGGTGCTCATCAGGGAGCTGGCTGTCGACAGCCCAGGCAGCGTGAGACCCTTGGCCGACGGAAGGTTCCTGCCCAGTGTTCTATTGTGAGAGACAAGATCGTGACATATGTCGTGTGTCGTGTGTCGTGTATCGTGCGTCGTGTGTCATGTGTCGTGTGTGTCGTGTGTGTCGTGTGTCATGTGTCGTGTGTGTCGTGTGTGGTCGGAATGTAGCGTACCGCCATCTGGCCGGGGTTGTCTGGTATTTGGCCAGGCCTTCGGCCGATATCGAGCGCACCCCTTCGGGCGAGGCACTGGACAGGTTTCGCGCCATGCCGAACTTGTGATGACTTGCGATCAGGTAGCTCACCACTTTCTGCTCGCGACAAACGACAAACGACACACGACACACACGACACACACGACACAGTCAATGATGATAAAAGAGAGTAGGGAGGTGACGGGATGTTGGGCGCCAGTACCTGTAGGTCGGTGAGATAGGGCGGGTCGGTCATGATCGAGCGGAGGATCACCATGAGCGTGGGCGCGAAGCCGATGCACAGCGTGTCGGCCTCCTCCTTGAACATGCGCATGAAGATGTCGATCAGGCCGGCCTCCCGGAACCGCATGATGTTGAACGACGCTTGTTCGTGGTTCGCCACCAACCTATGGTCGTGTGTTGCGCGTGTGCGGTGCGTGCGGTGAGTTGCGGCGTCCAGAACGAAAAGAGGAAATGGAGGACGCACCGCGCCAGGCTTTCGAAGACGATCTCCTGCACGCTCACGGAGGCGCTGCCCCACAGCTTGCGGTTGAGTATGAGATGGACGAAGGCGGGCAGGTTGGCCACCACTCCGTCGGAGAACACGATCGAGGGTCCGAAGGCGGCCGAGGCGAAGGCGTGCTCGCGCTGGGGCGTCGCCGGTGCTGAGCCCGAGCCCGACGGTGACGTGAAGGCGAAGGTGGGCTGCTGCCCGCCGGCGGCGAACGAGGCCAGGTGGTCCGGCGTCGGTAGCGAGCCCTTGCGGCTCGTCGACGACTCGTTTCGCATGAGGTCCTTTACCTTCGCGATGAACGTCGGCGCTTGTTTCTGTGTGTGTGTGTGTGTGTGTGTGTGTGTGTGCGTGTGTGTGTGTGTGTGTGTGTGTGTGTCGTGTGTGTGTGTTGTGTGCGTGTGGTGTGTGTGTGCGTGGCGCGTCGTGTCATGTCGTGTCAGTCACGGGCCAGGAGGCGCACAAAGAGGGAGGAGCCGACCTTGGAGTCGTCGTCGAACTGAGGCACGGACCGCGAGGAGAGGGGCGCGCGCATGCGACTGCTCGAGTGCGCCTGGGCGCTGGCAGAGGAATAGGGCAGCGATTGCGGGCGGCTCTTGCGCAGGCCCACAAAATTGAACATCAGCGAGAGCAGCGTCTCGTCGAGCGTCCACCTGTGCTTGCGGATGATCCTCGCCAGCAGCTGGTAGCCGCTCACGTCCAGCAGCTCCTTCACATTCCTCGCATTGTTCAACAAAAGACTATAGCAATCCCCCGCCCCCATCATCAAGTCAGCACTTGTTGTCGTGTCGTGCGGCGTGTGTCGTGCGGGAGATGTGAGCGCACCTGTGGAGCAGGCGTATGGCTTGGCGCTGGCGTTCCACGCATTCCTTGATCTGAATCTTGTAAGCGAGCCGCTCGGCCTCGGGCAGCGCGCTGAGCAGCTCCTCCTCGTTCGGCAGCTCCTCCCGGTTCACGCGCGACCGCCCGGCCGCAGGCTGCGCCGCCGCCGCCGCTTCGCCCTCGGACTCAGACGACGACGCGGCCGACGACGCCGACGTGTCAGCGGCCGACTCGCGCTTCTTCGCGGCGGCGACGAATCGGGCGAGCACGTCGTGCCGCGAGGGCAGGGTCGACAGGAACCACAGGAGGTTGGTGACGCCGCCGATGTTGAAGATCATCTCCTGAATCGAGAGGCGCTTGCGCAGGGCCACGCCGTCGTGGTGGTGCGCGATGTTGGCCAGCAGGATGTGGTTCTTGGTCTTCTTGCCCGACCGCTTCTGGGGCGACGCACCAACACCGGCGCCGGCGCCGGCGCCGGCGGTGGAGGCTGAAGAGGCGGACGAGGCGGCGCCGGCGCCGGCGGCTGACGACGATGGGGGCTGGGGGCTGGCGGCCACGGTGGCCGAGCCGAGGCCGCCGGGCGACTGTAGGGTGGGCGCCACGGTCGACTGCGCAGCGCCCTCCTTATCGAGCAGCGACGACGTGTTCAGGTGGTGCTGATGCGGCGCACTGCGTGTGTCATGTGCGTGTGCCATTTGTGTCGTGTCAATTGCGATGTTGGCGCCGATTTGGGCGGCAGTCGACATGATGTAGCGTACCGCGAGGTGCCGAAGCTGTCGATTCGGAAGGCCTGGGCCATGACCATGTTGCGCGCCGAGAACAGAAAGACGATGGTGTCGTCGAGGTGCGACATTTGGTCGTTGTATAGGGACGGGTCGAGCAGGAGCAGGGCATGGCTGTCGGCAGCGGCCCGCCCGTCGGCCCACTGCTGGTCGCCGCCGCCGGTGCTGACGTCATCGCTCGAGCCATCGTCGTAGTCCCTGCCCGCAGACCACTGCGACGACTCGTCAGCCGCCGCCGCAGCCGACCTGGTCGGCACCTCGCCGCTGAACGAGACCTCGAGGCCCATCGACAGCGGCGCGCCCTTGCGCTGCGCGGCCAGGCGCCCGGCCATGTACGGGTTGTTGACGGGCGAGATCGGGTTGCCCTTGGCCAGCAGCTTGACGCTGTCCGCGTTGATGATGTCGTACGTCTGGAACATGCCCAGGTCCACGTCCAGATTGCCGCAGTAGTTCGGGCCTGACGATACACAGCTTTGAGTACCCTGAAGAACGCGAGGAATGTGAAGAATGGAAAGGGAGCGCATACCGAGCATGTAGAGGAAGAGGACGTCGGGCTCCTCGGCGGCCTCCTCGAAGAGGTAGAGGTTGCCCAGCTGGAAGGAGGCCTCGCGCTTGGCCTCTTCGTCGTGGGCGAGCGAGGCTGCTAGGGTCGCCTGCGAGGCGCTCTCGGTTCGGTGGGGCACCGAGGCCGGGGCCGCGGCCGCGGACGCGCCGGCGGCGCCGGTCGCCAGGCTGTAGCTCAGGGGCGGCGCGCCGAGGAAGGCAAAGAGGTGCGCCGACGTGGGCCGGGGGTAGGTGAAAGGGACACTGCCCCGCAGCAGGCCGTCCACGCTCAGCTTGACCACGCTCGCCACCTTTTGCTGCGTTGTGTGCGGTGGTGCGTGTGCGTGTGCGTGTGCGGTGAGCCAAAGACCGAGCACGCAATCGAGGAGAGCGGTGTGGGATGCGACACACATACCTTGAACGCGCGTACGGGCGAGTGGGTGATGGCCACGTGATACCACCGCTTCTCACGGAACTTGAAGTCGTCAAACGTCGCATTCAGCTTGTTGCCCAGGCGCAGCGTCAGCACGCCCGCTCGGATCAGCACCTGGATAGGGCGTACCAACCAACATCAGATCATCGTCTGCGGAAGAAGAACGAAGAAGAACGAAGAAGAGAGCGGTTGTTGTTGATACCTCGGTTTGGCACTGCTTGTTGGCGCTGTTGAGGGTGAAGATGTGGGTGGCGGCCTCGTCGCTCTTGTGCTCCCGCAGATCGATGTTGGTGACGTGGCTCTCGGAGACGGCCTTGCCCGGTACGATCCGCAGCCGCTTGCCGCTGCCGTGGCTCGTCGGATGGGCGCCGCTGCCGTCGGACGTCAGGTTGAGCCAGAAGGCGATCGTGTAGCCCTCCGGCGGGGGCCAGATGACCTTGGCCTCCGTCGACGGCAGCGCCACGCCCGCCTTGCTGTTCGAAAAGTCCAGAAAGTACGACGGCACCACATGTCCGTCCCTGATCATCACACACACACGCACCAGTGTTAGCGCGAGCAGATTGTAAGGTGGCGCGGCGTGCGTGTTAAGGTGGCGGAACCGTTTGGCGATGGCGACGAGGGTGGAGAGCAGCGAGACGGGGAAGTCGGCCGGGTCCTTCATGAGCTTGAGGTACTTGCGCAGGGCCTGGAGCGAGATGCTGTGCGACGCGATCTTGGACACGAAGCGCAGCACCGTCGAGTGGAGGAAGGCCCGCGTGTTGCTGCTGCTAATCGACGCGGCCGCGCTTGTGGTGGTGCCGCCGCCGGCCATGTGCGCGGCGCGCGCGGCGGCGTCGGCGGTCGAGGTGAGGGTGGAGAGGTCGCCGGCCGTGAGTATGCCGCGGAAGTGGTCGAGCAGGTCACACACCACCTCAACGCCGGCGATCTGGTGCTGGTTGGAGGGCGAGAGGGTGGCGAGGAAGGTGAGCTTGTTGAGGATGTAGCAGATGTCGCGGTCGTCGGTGCGGCCCTGGGCCGACGCCAGGAGCTGGATGATGATCTTGAAGATCTCCGGGTTCTCCATCTCGAGCTGCCCGCGGCACACGCCGCACGACTTGACCGTCTCCTCGATGATCTTGTCGCGCGTCGACGACGCCCACGCCGAGAACGAAGACGACGACGAAATGGCCGAGAACGAACGACTGCGGCGCCTGGCAGACATGAAGGTGTCGGCCTCGCCGTCGTGGTCATCGTTGCCATCGTAGTGATGAAAGTCGCTGGCATGGTCCTGCGCGTGGTGCTGCCGCCTGCGGCGCTCTCGGGCTTCGTCGTCGCGCTTGCGCTTCTCCTCCTTCTCGCGCTCCTTGTTGTAGATGGTGACGTACTTCTTGTAGTGGGTCGGGCACGAGGGCGGCCAGGAGTGGCGCACCGCAACGTCGATCAGCGCGTCGCAGATCTCGATCGCGCGCTGGCCCACGTGTATGACGAAGTGGCACGCCTGTATATAAACTCAATTTGAGTACATGTCGCAACACCACACACACACACACACACACAACACGCACACAACATGCACGCATACCTGGAGGGCTTCAGCCAGCGCAGCGAAGCGAATTTCGGAGCGAAAGTAGCGCCGGTTGTCGACGTTGGCGGTGAGGGCGATGGAGAGGGTGTTGAGCAGCATCTTGATGAAAGTGAAGGCCTCCTGCGACGCTTCGGGGCCGCTGCCTGACGCCGGCGCGGGCGCGGGCGATCGCGGCGCGGTGGCGGCATCACCATTCGACTCCGGGTCGACGGCCCCGTCGTCGACGCCTTCGCTCGGCTGAGTGCTGTCGGCGGCCGCTTGATGCGCCTGCTTGGCGTCCTTTTCCTTGGCCTCCTCCGCCTCAGTGTCGATGGACTTTCCAATTCCGTTCATGACCGAAATGGCCCAAATGAAGCCTCCATTGGTGCGGAAGGCGTCCTGAGTGCGCGTGACTGTTCGTCAGGCACGAAGCACACACGGCACACGACGCGACGTGCATTACCGCACACGCACACATGTCGTTGGAGCTGTGACTTTACCTTGAGTTTGGCGTTGTGGCGGAACATGTAACACAAAGCCACTAGAATATCTCTCCGCATCGACAGAATCTGTTGATACATAACACCGAGGCCGTTTATAATTGCTTGTCTTGGAACACACACACACACGACACACACGACACACACGGCACACACTGCACACACCCAACGACACGAATACGAACCTCCTTGCTCAGCGCGGACGTGCCCCCGGACGACTGGAGCACGCTGATGATGTCCCGAATGATGGCGCCCCCAACATCCTCGCTGCCGGTACCGCCTCCGGTCTCGCTCTTGATGGTCGCGCCGGCGCTGGGCGTCGATGATGACGAGCCGATGGCGATGATGGCCACGACGCGCAGGATGGGGCCGCGCAGGGCCACGTCGTTGAGCATCGCGTAGAGCCTGCGCAGGCCGTTGTCCCGCCGGAAGGCGTCCTGGTTGCCGGCGTTGCCCACCAGGAAGTGGAACGTGAGCTTGAGCATGCGCCGGGAGAGCGCGTACAGAATGCGCCGCACTTCGTCGTCCTTCGAAGTGTGTGCGTTCAGCTCCGCCGCCGGCGCAGCTTCCGACTTGGCCCGAATTGTTTCGTCGCTTTCGGCCTCGCCTTCGCTGCTGCACGTTTCCTGCAGCTCTTCGTCTTCTTCGTCTTCTTCGTCTCGCTCTCGCTCTCAGCCTCCTTTGCTGCTCATCGATGGCTTCTTGGCGGTGTGCCCGCTGCGGGAGGAGGAGGCGTGGGTGTTCGTGCCAGCGGCCGGCGGCTGGAGCAGCTCCAGGCACAGCTGGCGCTCGTCGTTCCCGATCAGCGCCGACGCGCAGTAGAGGTGCAGCGGGTTGGCCAGGTACTCGAGCAGGATTGGCACGATGCCCACCGACTTCAGCACCGTCCTACGAATCTTCCCTCTGCACGCACACCGCACATTAGTCACATTCTTGGAGTTGAGAGAAAAAAAGAAATTGAAGAGAAAAGGGAAACGACGAACCGCTGAATGAGGGAGATGAGGTGGTTGGCGACGAGGAGGATGGTGGAGGGCCGCTTGCCCTGGAGCAGGCCGCAGTAGGACTTGAGCTCGCTGGTCAGCAGGTCGCTGCCGCGCAGCACGTCGTCCATCATGCCCAGCACCATCCGCTGGTTGTGGAGCGTGAGCGTGTCGTATTGGAGGAAGAGCGTGCGGAAGGGCTCGAAACGCTTCTGCAGCAGCTGGTAGCCCGTCACCGTCACGAACTGCTGCGCCACGCCCGAGGCCGATCGCCCAGCGCCGGCGCTGGCGCCGCCGAGCAGGGCCTGGCCGTAGCCGCCCGAGCCCTGCGACGACAGCGGCGGACGAGAGGCGCCAGGCGCCGATGGCTGATCGGCGGCGGTGGTGGTCGAAGCCGAGGATGTAGCGGACGGGGAGGAGGAGGCGAGCATCTGCGCCATGGCCGACTGGCCGATGGGGAGCGTGACGCGCAGGGAGAGGATGACCTGCAGCGTGCGCAGCAGGTCCGTCTTCACCTCCGTCGACCCGCACGAGACCAACGCGTTGAACAGGATCTTGCAGCTGTCCAGGTTGCGCCAGTTGCCCGACGCCTCGTCGCCTTTGTGTGTCGTTGGTCGTTAGGTAAACACTGCCAGACCAGATCAGACGATGGGCGAGGGTGAGGAATGTGCATACCAATGACCTTCTGCGCGAGCAGGCGCTTGTTTTCCTCGTCGGGGTCGCTGCGGGTCGAGTGCTGCTTGCCGTGGCCACGAGTCGGCTGCGCGTAGTCGGCCGACGACGACGACGATGACGACGAGGCGGAGGCAGCGGGCGGAGAGAACAGGACGTTGCGATCGCCGATGAAGAGGAGGTGCGTCACGAGGCCGATGAACTTGGCGATCTCCTCGCGGCTGCCCTTCTTGCTCGTGACGATGAGGTTGTGGGTGAGGATCTGATAGCCGCCATCGCCGATGAAGTCGTCGAGCAGCGACGACGAGAGCGCAAAGGAGGAGCGCAGGGCGAACACGATCAGCTGGCACAGCTCGAGGCAGGTCGTGGTCGACAGCCGATCGCCGTATTTGTAAAGATTGGAGAGCAGCTGCTGCAGCACCCGCTGCTGGTGGATCAGCTCAATGCTGCACCCAAACCAACCAACCAACCAACAGTTGAGGTGAATAGTTGGTCGCCAGTGATTTGAGAGAGGGTGGTGAGGGTGTGTTTGCTAACCTTTTCTTCTTCCTGGAGGAGGTGATGAACAGGCTGGCCATTGTGCGGATGAGCTGCCGCTGCACCGCGAATATGCCGAACGCGTCCAGCGCGTAGCCCACGCTCTCTGTAGACGCGCGTGTTAAACAAACAGCACACGACGATGCACTTGAGGGCGACCCAGCAGTGTGTGGGTGGTACCTGCTTTCGAATTGGCGGTCTTCAGTGCTCCTGACCGTCCACTGCCGTAAACTGGGGAGGGGGCGAAAAACGAGAGTCAGGAAAAGAGAGATTATCGGGAGGGCGATAGGTCTTTATGGCGTACGGTCGGCGGTGGCCTTCTGTTTGTTGGACTTTCTTCGCTCGGTGCCGGCCGACAGTGGCTTGAAGAGGCCCACGAAGGCCGAGAGCTTCTTGTACTGCACCAGCTCCTTGAGCGTGCCCGGGTACTTGAACAGGTGCGACAGCACGCTCAGCATGTGGTAGCACAGGCTGGCCAGCATCGCATTGGCTGGAATGTCAGGCATGCCGCCCAGTCCATACGCACCGCCGACGCCGCCGACCGACGACGCTGACGACAGCGATGATGAAGAAGAAGGTGGTGACGATGGTGATGATGAGGAAGAGGGTGAAGCCATGGTGTCTAGGAATGCGAGGCATGTGGGGATATCGTCGACAGCGAACAGCTGGCTCACCAGGGGGAAGTGGAAGGCGTAGAAGGCCGGCACGTGGGGGTAGTGCGCGCGAGCCTCCCGGCGCAGCAGAAAGTCGGCCGGCAGCTCGAGCAGCCGCACGAGGATCGCCACCAGCGTGGTCGCCAGCCCATTGGCAATGCGCGCGTTCGACACCTGCGCCAAAACACGACACGACACGACGCACACACGATGAGCAATCGCCGCACGCGTAAAGAATGAAAGAGACAGTCAGGACGAGGCGTACATTCTTGGCGAGGATCTCGAGGGTCCACAGCAGGTAGAAGCCCTCGCCCTCCCGCGACAGGCCGCTCAGGTACTCGAAGATGAGCGCCGCCGGCGCGTGCTGTGCAATTTATATTCAATTCAATCAACACCACCACCCACAGGTAAGTCGACCGACAGAGTGCGACGACGATGGGGCTGAGTGAATGTGCAGGCACTTGGAGGGGCGTGCCTTGGAAGCCTCGCCGAGGGGCGTCGAAGCTTCACCGCCGGCTTGGCAGAGCTCAGAGATGTGAGAAATGAAGTGCCATACGAGGTCGCGCGCCACCAGGCGTGTGCCCCCGAACCTGCACAGGTGCGTGTGCGTCGCGGTGTGGTCATGAGCAAGAGGCCAAAAAGAGCAAGAGGAGACGAGGAAGGAGGTGAGGTCACCTGAGCTCGACCAGGTCGCTCTCCGTGTCGGCGAACTCGGACACAAATTGATTCAAGAATTGAACGAGGTAGCGTCGCTTCTCCTGCACGTGTATGCACAAGATTCAATAATAAGACAATAAATCACAAAAATCAAAACATAATCGCGATTGGGGCGCTGAAAGGGCGAACGTACGCTGGGGACGGTGGCCGAGGCGAAGCATCGCCAGAGGAACTGCAGCTCGCTGACGACCGACAGACTGCCAAGTAGCGCACCAAACAAACCGCCGTAGGCGTAAATGAGTCAATTATTTGAGAGAATGGCAATAAATCACACATACACAAATGGCTAGGGTGGGTACCTTCGTAGTGCATCGGACGACGGCGAGGCGAGGCCGTTCATCTCGATCGTCGCACGTATGGTTTCGCTGTTTCCTTAGCCAGCAGATCTCAAAATTTGTGCTTTTCTTGAGTTTTTCTTTCAAAATATTTCAATACCTCGGAGAAAAGAACAGAGAAAATTGATTGTGCTTGTCAGCTCCAGCGTGGGCGGATGGACAGGCAAGAGAAGAACGGGCTGGGGCTCACAAAGACAGGAGTAGTAGCCGCTGCGGTCGTGGCAGGTTGTGCTGTGATCCTCGTGGCTGGCGGAGCCTACCTGCTGCGGCGCCGTTGGTCTCGAGGCCGGGACGGAGGAATGGCGCCGAGTCCCCTCTCCAACCCAGCGTTCAGCGAGGCCTGCCCGCCTGATGCACGTTTGGCGCACGTGAGGTGGGGCGACATGCTTCTTGGTGTTGCCATTGGTGCGTATTATGTAGGTTTGTCATGGTTGCCCATTGGTATCATTGGCTTTGAACTCAAGTTTAAAATTCTGCGGCACAGGTGACAGCGTGGGCGCAGGACTAGAGTTCAAGTCCAGGGAGTGGATTGAAGAGCACGTGGACTTCACGGACTACGTAAGCACCGGCGACGGCATGTGGGCCGAGGGCTTCAAGGAGGGCGTCTACACTGACGACACCGAGATGACCATCGGCCTGGTGTGTGCCCTCCCAAGCGTGCTCGTCTTTACTCTCTTTCTACATTGGCTTCACGCCGTGTCTCTCATTGTGTGGCCACACAGGTGAAGGCCTTGATCGATGCCGGCGGTGATCCAAGCAAGGTCAACGAGGACGTGCTCGTCAAGTACTGGACTGCCGAATACCACGATGGCAAGCAACGCCTCGGACACGGACGCCTCGGGCACGGCAGCATCGCGTACGCCATCCCTCTTCATTCAAAAACAAAACAAAACAAAACAAAACAAACAAAACAAACAAACCAAACAAACAAACAACCAAACAAAACCAAACAAACACAAAATCTAAACTCTTCAAGCTGCAATGCTTCAGGGGCTACTATGAAGGGAAGCACTCCATCAACGAGATCAGGGAATGGCAAGCACGGCGTGAATACCCGGGCAACGCGCCGGTCATGCGGGCCGTCCCGCTCGGTGCGTCGTCACCGACTTCTACCACTACCGCTATGTGTGGCGGGCTGGCTTGACTTTGGGCCTCCTGCTCCTCAGGTTTCCTGCCGCCTGAGTTGATGACCAAGGTCTGCGAGGTCAACGCCGACGCAACGCATCCACACCCGAAAGGTACCTTCAGATTTCTGTCCATCTTCCCACGCACCGATTGAAAGAGCTGGATTCTTGGTGCACCAGGCCGAGCGGCCAGCATTCTCACGGCCAGGGCAGTCCGCTATGTGGTGCTGGACCTGTCGGAGCGCCGGAAGGCATCATCCAAGCCTGCTCTGCTGGCATCGGACTCTATGATCGAGGTTCAGTTTCCATGGAAACTATGTTTTTTATCGCACACACCACCATTAGCTGCATTGCACTCATTGGCCAAACACATAGAGACCAAGGACTATCTGGAGATGGTGGACCAGCTTCCCGACCACAAGCTGCCGGAGGCGAGCAGCCTCGATGTACTGGAGGCACTGTGCGGGCCACAGCCCCTCAAGAACCCGTTTGATGGGTCAGACTGCCTGGGTCTCAATTCGGTGCACAGCGCCCAACCTCCCAACCACCACCATTTTTGTTGCTGGGCTAAAGGTGGAGAATGTGCGGTGTGCGTGGGTAGGACGCTATGCGTACGGCCGGCTGCGTGCTGTATCTCCTCAAGTGGTACACCGACCCACTGGAAGGCCTTAAGGCCGCAGTCAAGATGGGTGGTTTCGTCGATTCGCTCGCCGCCGTGGTGCTGGGCACCCTCGGTTCGCCTCTCGCCCTCGCTGTGTGCTTTCTCTCCTCTTTCACCCACTCACCGCCTGATCTAGGAGCGCGGTACGGGCTGGAGGGGCTCAACCCAAACTTCGTCCGAAAGGTGGAGTGCCGCGAAGAGCTGCAAACGCTGGGCCAGGCCTACGGCGAGTTCATCGCACGCCTCTGCGCCAGACCATGGAGCGTCACCGCTCTGCGCACCGGCAGCAAAAGCCCGTAGTGCGTAATAAAAGAAAAGAAAAGAAATGAAATGAACGACGAGTGGTGTCTTTGTTGTGGTGAGTGCCCCAAGCAGGGGCCAGTGAAGGTGCGCAATGGTTACTTGCGGAGCTGCTGGTAGCCGGCGATGAGCTTGGTGTTGTTCTTGCGGAGCATCCTCTGTGCCTCCCAGAAGAGGTTGGACGCGGCGGTGAAATCGCCCGCGTCAATCTCCACCTCGATCCACCCGAGCCACAGGTCAGCCGAGAGCTTGCCATGGTGGCGCACACCACGTCTGCACGTCCACCCATCGTCAAGTCGTAAGTTGATGCGACACGACACACACGACACACACAACGTTTGGCCAACTTGGCGAGCGCGATAGTGACCTGTAGAGCGAGCGGATGACGGTAAGGTCCATGGGCCGCTGTGCGCGCTCGATCAAAATGCAGTGGCGGTAGTACTCCTCGGTCTGCGCCGGCACATCAAGACCCCTGTGCGACGAGAAGAATAGCAGCAGAAAAAGAAAAGAAAAGAAACACGTTCACCGTCAGTCGGCCCCGACAGCAGCTTGACTGAAGGTGCGGGGGGAGGGGGGAGAATTGTAGCGTACACTTCGTAGGCCTGGCGAGTCGACTGAATGTCGTGGGTGGCGGCAACTCGAGAAATGAAAGCCTCCTTGATGACCGACACACCGCGCTTGTCGGGCGCTCCGGACAGCGTAACCAGCGCTTTCTGTGGCGGGAGGCGGCGGAAAAGGGCGAGAAAGTAAGCGCGCGAGCGCCTTTGACGCGGAAGAGCGAGGCGAGTGGTAGTAGTACCCTGAAGTGTTGAAGCGTCGTGTCGAGGGACAGGTTGGCACTGAGCACCAGCTCGAGATAGTGCCCCCACAAGCTCTGCGAAGGTGCGGTGAAGATGAGTGAGCACAGCAAAAAAGGACTGATTGAGGGCTACGGCTTCGGTGCCCGGTGGGAGGTGTGTTCGTTGCGTACCAGCGAGTCGCGAACAGGCACGGCATCGAACGCGGCAGCGAAGAGCTGCTTGAGGTCAGCACCGAGCACTTCGCTCGAGGCCACTGCGCTCCGGCGGATGTGCAACCGGATTCGCAGCAGCCACAGCGAGGGTGACTGGGCGTGCCGTCTCGTGGCGGTCTAATCCAAACCGAAAACGAAAACAACGAAAACGAAAAGGTCATCAAAGGTTTGCTATGACGTTGGTTGGGTTGGTGGTGAGTGGGCGAGTAATTGAAGCGCGAGGGTGCATACCTCCGCCGTCTTGACGGCTTCGTCAACTCGGCCAAGGTTGAGAAGAGTCTGGATCCACGTGCTGTAGAATAGCTCGCTGGTGGCCGCCGCCTCCTCGGCCTTTTGGCACACCTCCAAAACGCGCTCGGCCCACGCCCTGACTTCACGCCTCTGCGCCTGGACACACACAAACGCGGCGGCGCAATCAGTCACGGTTGTGCCGCGGGGTAATGGAGCAGGCTTGCGCTGTCGTGTGAGACGCACTGCGGTTTGGTCCTTCTTCGCAGCCGAAGAGTTCAGGCAATCGAGGCAGAATTCCAGGTATTCCTCCCACAACTCGACGCTCGACGCGGTCCTGAGTGCCTCCTCGTACGTCTGCAGAGCAAAGAGCACAGCCGCCGGCTTCTCTGTGTGACCGGGGAGGAGAGATCATGCACATGAGTTAGGGAATGTGACTTTGGTGTCGTGTGGTGTCGTGTGGTGTCGTGTGGTGTCGTGGTGCGACTTTGCGAGCCGAGGGAGCAGGAACTAGGCACCTTCGTCGGTGGCGTCCTGCATCTTGTGCTTGGCGTACAAGCTCACGCACCGGGCATCGTCGCTAAACTCCTTGAGCAGGCTGTCGAAGATCTCTTGCCTGATGTTCTCGGTGCCGTCGAACGACGAACACCCGCAGGAACGACACTCGGAAGGCAGCGCTGTCGGGAATGGCCTTCACCGCGCTGCGGTAGATGAATAGGGGGATGGCGCCGGCCAAGAACGGGTTCTGTGTGGTCCTGTACGGCGATCGTCGTTGATAAATAATAACAATAGAAACAATAACGGTGATTAAGAATAAATAAATAATAAAAGAATAATAATTAATAATGAGAGGAATCGTACGTGGCGGCCTGGGCCTTGATCGATGGGTCGCCAGCGGCACTGGCGCTAAGTCCCTCCTCCTTTTTGCTGTCGGGCAACGACGTGCGGTCGATACTTGTGCCCTGTACACCGAAAAGGTGAGGCGACATGAGAGTGGGCGGACGATGGCTGACTGACATCAAGACCGAGCAGCTCGGACATAACAGGAAGTACCTTGGGCACGAGCGCGCTCGCATCGATGCCGAACTCCTCCATACGCTCCTTGATCCTCGCCAAATATATGCACTCCAGCTTGCAGAACTCGATCCAAAGACGCTCGCTCTTGGGGTTGAGTCGCAGTGCTCGTTCCATCAATGCTGCACCACACGTGAAAAAAAAATCGAGGATAAGTGCCACACAACATACCACACACGCGCGCGCAATGGCATGAAATGACGCGCACCTCGAGCGGCCGTGATGTTTTCGTTGTATTCAAACTCGTAGCCTGCGGCCACGATCCACAATCCCTCGACGGTCGGGTGGAGTTGGATGGCCCTGCAGTAGTGCAGTAGTCGAGTCAGCAGCAGCAGCAGCAGCAGCAGCACCAACAACAACAACGACACAAGCGAAGCAAAGTAGCATGAACACGCGTGCGGCCGTACTGCGCAAAGACCCGGTTGAGGGTGGAGGCGTTGCGGATCTTCTTGAGGTATTCAATGTACTGCAGCCAGAGGGTAACGTCGCTGCCGAACTTAGTGAGCATTCGCCCGAAGATCATGGTGATCCACTTGGCGAAGTGGTGTTCGACCGATTCCGGCAGCCTCATGATACCTGACGTCGCACACAGGTGCATGAGAATCAGAGAAATTAAATCGTCCAAATGAGACAAATAAATCTCTCGTGTAGAAACAGAAGAAATGATTGAGAATTGGGAACAACATGCAAGAGAAGCGCTGAAGGAGAAAGGCTGGCAGTACCAAGTCTCTTCTTCCTCTTCTTTTGCAGGATGTTCAGATTCATCTCGTACTGTATGTAGCGCAGATAGTCCTCTTTGTCCGATCCCATTCGCTTCAGGGCATACTCGAAGTGGTTGCGCTTCTTGACGATCGCTTTGATTTCGGCCTAGGCCATTTCATACGCATCACCTTTGAGAAAATCGCTCAAAATCAGCGGAAATGGGCAAATCGGGAATCAGTACCGGAGAGAAGACCTCGAAGCTCTGCAGCTGTTCGAGGTCCGGAATCATACGCTCCAGATAGGAGTACACAACGTCCGCCATCTTTGCTTTCTTTCCTTCAAATCTTGCCTCTTATCCTTACGGCCCTTCTGTTCGGATTTGATTCCGCTTCGTCTGGAAAAGAAAAGACAACATTTCCCCGCCATAAATCCGTTTTATTCTGTTATTCCAGGGTTTTACGGCAAACATGTGAGTGAATCAGGAAGGGAGGAGTGACCACCTTGTCTCCAAGCGCTGAGTTGATCCTGTTGGGCAAAGACCAAAAACGAAATGATCAAGAGCTCAAATAATGTTAAAGCTGGAGATGTGCAGGCCCAGTGGAAACTGTAAGAGGTGAACACCAGGATAAGTGTGTTGGTTTGACCTCCTTTCATTCACAGGTTGTAGTTCTATATCATTGTACAGTAAAAATGATTATTGGTCAGAGAGATTTGCATGGCAACAGTAAGGGCACACCTGAGTGTTGTAAGTGGGCTTGATGTTGCACAAAGAGTGGCCCACTAAAGAGAACAAGAAATGAGAGCACCAATTTGAGCATCATTGTTTGTTGTGATATACCTTGATCATGCCTGTTGGTGTTAGTTTCTACTGTCTTGTTGCTTGGTGATAGTCCTTGGCCTGATGTTCACTGCGCCTTTTTGCCCAACCCTTTGCTCAAAAGAAAATCACAAGAAATGTATTTCTTTGTTCGTCTCGTGGCCACGTAATCGTTCCGATTTACAAAAGGCACCAAAGGTTCAAACAACAACGATGGCAAGCACACCACAGGACGAGGAATCGATTAAGGATGTCCAGGTACGTGCATTATGCACCTCGCCCGAGATTCAGTGTGGGGATGCTGAGTCATCTTTGGGCGTCCATAGCTACTCGATCGAGTGCTGTTCAAGTTTGCCATGGTGAGTGACGCTGCGGCAGTGGAGGGCGCTGTGGCGTCCTTCCTCGTGCCAGTCCTCTCCAAACTCGCCAGCCCCGCGCCCATCACGAGGAACAAGGTACATGCGTGTGCGTGCCCTTGCGTGGTGCTCTTTGGGTGCAAGTGCCTGATACCAGGTCCAATTGCACCTCGGTGGGCCTACGTGAACACAACGACAGGTTCTCGAGGTGTTGAACCACATCAGCAAGCGAGTGCGGAGCCAGACCAACATCAAGCTGCCACTCGCAGACCTCGTGCAGCAATACGTGGCACCTGACGCCTCGGCGTTTGTGCAAAACCTCAACATCATTTATCTCGGTACATCTGCACGCCTTCTCTCTTTACGCACGCAGGGCATCTAACAAAGACTGCACGCTGGCCTCCCACACCTCCCAACAGAGATGGCTTTCGATCGTGCCACCAAGGAGGTAGATAACACACACACACACTCTCTCTCTCTCTGTGTGTGTGTGTGTGTGTTGTGCTCTGTGCTCTGTGCTGTGCCGTGCGGCCCGAAGCTCACCACGCAAGCTGCGCGATTACAGGAGCAAAGCGCTGTGGCTCCTACGCTATTGAACGGCCTGCAGAGCCGGCCGGCCAAACACCAGGCGATCCTCCTTCGTCTGGCTGTACGACAAACCCTCAATCACGGAAGACCGACCATCCCATTGATGGGCTGACACACGTCTCCGAACAGGTGCCGAGGATTTTGGCCCAGTACCAACAGCGAGAGCTGGTGCGCGAGAAGCTCGTGATACCGGCCTTCTTTGGCGATCCCGCGGTGAAGAAGACGTTCCTCGACTTTCTCTTGGACGTGCTTCTGATGGTACCACTACGGTTGGACGACGTCAGGTGCACACACGCCTCTCTCGCGCGCAGCTTGCGGCACGACCCTGACCTCACTAACACTGCATTTGGTGGCGGTCACAGTCCTCAGGCTGCCCAGTCATCGCCTACAACGGAGCCGGCGGCCCCCAAGGCAGTCAGCGTTCCTGGCCTAAGCACAAACTCAATTCAACGAATAATGGGCTCTGCCCGAGTACTTACGTCGCAGCAACTCATCGAGTATAAGGTGCGTGACCGACCTCTCGAAACTCATTTTTCGCAATTGAAAGGCCACAGCTCATCGTCCAATCGGCTCACTCAGGCATCAATCGTGGGCTTTCTCGCATCCGGCATTCTGGATGACGCACCCAATGCCATCCTACCGCACCTTCTCGTGGCCTCCAGCGACACACATCACAGGTACACCACAGCCCAAGCTTAGCTCCTCCCCGCACCTCCGCTTCCGTTGCCCTTAACTATTTCCTGCGTTCTAGCATTAAGGACGACGGGACTGGCGCACTGAAGAAGCTGGAGAACGTCAACTTTGAAGACCCACAGGTAGATAGTGCTATTTCCGCGAATGCTATTCTTGTACTGCAGGCCAATGACCATTGGCGTTGGGTCGGG